CCTGTCCTGTCCTGTCACCAGCCCCCACAGCAACAGCTCAGCACGGCTCCAATCCCCCACCTCCACCCTGGGCACTGGATGAGGAGAAGGGTGAGTGCCAAGACCAGTCTCAGGTGGTCGGACCCACAAACAGCAGCCCTGAGACCAGCCCAGCCACAGGGAGCACAGAGCCCCCCGAGCCCCAGGAACTCCCTCCATGTCCAGCCTTGGGCTTGGAGGGATCAAATCCACGTCCCTCCAACAGCTTCTGGCACTGTGTCCTAGTTACAGGGGCCAGGAGCAGTTTATCACCACGAGGGTATAACCAAAAGTGTGTGTTCTACACCCTGTCTGTCATTTCTGATGGATGGGTAATAACTTGCAGCAGGACCAGGGCACACCTGGCACCTCAGGCTACAAGCTGGGTGTTCAAAGAACTCTGCCAGGAGTGTTTCCTTGTCTTCACACTAATGACTCTGCTGTGACAAATCCCCTCCAGGGAGGCATCAGCACCTTCACCTCCAGCCTGAGGGGGCATCTCTGCCACACTGGGCTGGCACAACAGGCAGCTGCAACACCTGGATCATCGAAGATTCCAAAAACATCCTATGGCTCAAGGAGTTAAATCACCCACTGTGGAACTCCCTGCCCTGGGGGAGGTACTGGACATTCCCACCTGAACCTGGCCAGATATAATCTCGGGGTTTTGGGACTTCTGGCACCAGAAGTCCAACAGGACTGCCACTCTTGACCAGACTGTGATCCTTACTCCAACAGCACTGCGACCATCACCTGGACCAACAGGTTTTCCTTTCCTTTTTCTGTGCACCCAGGGGGGCCATGTGGTGCTCAGCACAGGGGTTGACAAACCCCATTGTATTCTTGTCCCAGGGTGCTGGGTTATACATCTGTCTTTGGGGCTTAACCCCAGTTTTTTTTTTTTTTATTGTTGTTCTTGTTGTCTTTTTTTTAGTTTGTTGTTCTTGTTTTGTTGTGTTTTTTGTTTTGTTTTGTTTTTTTCTGTCGGTTTTTTTTTTTTCCAGCAGGCTGTTCTTCTTCTTTCTCCAGCTGGGAGGCTTTGCAAGTTTGTAAAGTGCTTTTTTTCCCCAGTTGAGGAGCTCCAGCCATGAGCAGCTCTCAGGGCTTCACCCACTCCGGTGGGTGGAAGTGAAGGGACAACCTGTCCCACTTCCACACTGTCTCCAAGGGAAAAAAAACATCTTTTCTTCCCCCCTCGAACTCTGCTGGGCTGTGAGGGTGGTCACAGCGACAAGACAGTGTCATCTGCTGTCTGGAAAGTCCCCTTGGACACGGGATTTCATTGCTTTACATGTAAGAGCAACAAGTGCACGATAAGGTTATCAGCCCCCAGCACCTTGCTGCCCTGACCAACCCATCGGGGAGAAACCAGCCATGGGCAGGACATGACAGAATTCAGGAGAATTCAGTTTTCACCCACAGTAAACAACCCAAGGAAACCACGTTGCCTCGAGGCAGAGGAATCGCCAAGCACAGGAATCCTCAATATCCCATCCTTCTGGATGGTCAAGTCTGGAGAAAAAGCACTGGGAGGCATCAAGCTTTGAACTTTCCCTTCTCCCTCCCCTTATTTTTCTCCTGAAGTGATCCCAGGAAGGAGCTGGACCCTGCAGCAGAGGAGAGACCCCCCAGCTGAACTCCTGACCATCACTGAACATTCACAAAGCATTAACACACAACCCCTGACAGCAGCAAGAGAGGCCCAGGGACAAAAGAGGTGCCAGACACAAGGCAGTCCTGGGCCGAGGGCACAGGTTTAAATGAATGAATGCAGGGATTTTCCCCTGCACTTCCTGCAATGGAATGTGAGCTCCCGGGAATACACAGGAGGTGATCCACTAGCTCATCCCTCCTGGACAGCCCGTGGCCAGGGTCCAGCATGATGCAACAAAGGCAACATGGCCACAGTGTCCTATGATCACCCTCCCAATCAGCTCCCCTCTCCTTTTATTAAAAAAAGGGGATAAAAAGTTAAAAACCCCAGACTATTCAGAGTGGGCCCTTAGCTGATGGGTTTAGTGAGGCCTGACTTTACGCGGCCAATCTGAATAAACTCTGATAAACAATACAGGGAAGGAACTGGAAGATCAGCTGATTCTCTTTAAAAACCTGTTTCAGGCAGTGCTGCTGTCAGTGGGAGTAATTCCAGGGCGGGAGCAGCTCCCACGTGCCCGCTGGGCTCCCTCATTGCAGGGGAATTACAGGCCAGCCCCGGGATAAAACTCAGGGCAGGATCCCCCCTGACTCCAGGTGAGAACAGGGTTCAGGTATTTCAAACAGCAGCAACGCCCAATCCATATATGGGGAAACCTGATATGCGCAAACGGGATTTTCCATCCTAAAAAACAGCAGTGCCGAGGGTTTGGACATCACTCGGCAAGTTGGAAGAGGCAGCATTCCTGCCCCGGGCAGCCCAGAGCCGCCTGCAGCCGCTGAGGAAAACTATCCCGGAATCCCGAGAGCGAACAGCAAACAAGGCTCGGGAGCGCAGCGCTGGAAATCCCCTCTCCTCCCGCCCGGGCAGCCAGCGGTCAAGCCTCCCGCCAGTCGGAGCCCACGTGCCCTCCGTGCCCGCTGCCCCGCACGGCTGAAACCACCCTTCTCCTTTCCCCTCCACGCTGCTGCTTCCCCCGCGCCCCCCCGGCCTCAGCCCCGCACCTCCCCTGTGCCCCCTGAACCTGCTCGGGTGAACCCCCCCGGCCCTGCTCCCCTCCTCCGGCCCTGCCCTCCTCCTCCGGCCCTACCCTACCCACGTGAAGCCCCCTGACCCCCCCACCTGCCCAGGTGAGCCTCCCTGGGCACATCGCCTCGGCCACCTCCCCTCTCCCCCCAGCCCCCAGGACCAGGTGAGCCCCCACATCCCCCCCGTTTTCCCCGTAGCC